CCAAGCTCAGAATCAGGTCCAGAGAGGCCACAATGATGGGAAATAAATGAGGTTTTGAGTGACCACGAGGCAGAACAAGCCTTATACCCCATGCTAAGGGCTAAGGTGCACTCCCTCAGCTAGCCCACCCAGTGGAGCTCTCCAGCCCCTCCCACCCAACCAACCTGCCCTCCACACACCATGCTCTCCTGCCTGGGCATTCTCTTCATTCCCTCCCACCACAGCCCCTGCCTAAGGAGGCCCCTCCCACCTGGGAGGCTTCCCCTTTCCTCCTCTCTGACTCGAACTCTGAAGCATCCTTCAAGACCCAGCTGAAGTCTCCCCTGCTCAAGGAAGACTTTCTCAGCATGTCCCTGTCCTCCTCCAAGGGTGTACCTTGTCCTTTGAGCACAGGGTACTGTCTCCTGGTCCTGTTTCTTTCGTAGTGCCCATCACCAAGATGGTCACACAACAGGCCCTCGGTCAATGTCATGTCCTGGGCACACTACACCCTTTCAGGCCTCTGCACTTCTGCACATGCTGTCTGCTCTTGACTAGAATATTCTTTCCTAACTCCTCTTGCAAGGTCTCATCTCCTGAGGAGCCTTCTCCACCTCCCCTCCCACACTGCTCTTCTCTTTTTAACATTACCACTTTTCTCTTTTTAGAACCTATCCCTGAGGCTGGGCGCGGTGGCTCAAGCCTGTAATCCCAGCACTTTGGGAGGCCGAGACGGGCGGATCACGAGGTCAGGAGATCAAGACCATCCTGGCTAAAACCCCGTCTCTACTAAAAATACAAAAACTTAGCCGGGCGAGGTGGCAGGCGCCTGTAGTCCCAGCTACTCGGGAGGCTGAGGCAGGAGAATGGCGTGAACCCGGGAGGCGGAGCTTGCAGTGAGCTGAGATCCGGCCACTGCACTCCAGCCTGGGTGACAGAGCGAGACTCCGTCTCAAAAAAAAAAAAAAAAAAGAACCTATCCCTGTTATACCATTCTTCATGTGAACTATAATTCCATTAGACCCAAGGAAACAAATCCATCTTATATAAACATTTGTTGAGTGACTACTCTGCTAGACACTGTGCAAGGTGCCAGGGAAATAGACATGAATCACACAGAGATCTGGCCTAAAGGGCCTAATGACTTGCGTTAGTCTGGTACCCACACCATACCGGGTAGTTGAAGAGGACTAGGACACAAATCGGATTCCTCTGTGAGTCCCCATCGGCAAGCACATACCAGCCCATAAGGAAGATATGTGGAACAATGCAAGATTTTGACATTCTTGAGTTGTAGCTTCACCTCAGACAAGCTGCTTTACTTTCCTGAGCCTCAGGTTCCTCATCTGCTAAATAAAGGCAGAATTCCCAGGGGTGGGCTAAGGATAAGTGGAGACTATGAGTGGGAAAACCCTCTGGAGACCAACCATCCCTCCATATGTATGAAAGGTAGTGACTGTGACTGCGACATTCTCCTCTGTCCCCTACCAGGGTCAGCCATGCTCCTCAAGGCTTATGGAAGGAATGAGTAAGCAGCTCTCACTAGCACTGAATTCATACCACTCAAATCTGGCCCTTCCTGGATCCTAGAGAATTCTCTGCATAGAGTCATGGTTTCCATCTTCAGCCTCTGGGCTCTGGATTTATTGATTTCTGTTGAGAAATCTCCATCCTACCCCTGTTTTCCATTCCTAGGCCCTGGTTTGTATAAATCACAAATAAGGCAAATTTAAAAATCTAAGAATGGGAAGGGTTAGGCTAGGGGAATCCCTTCCAGGGACTCACATCAGAGCTGGCGACGTGGTTAGGCTATTATGTTAGAGAACATGGGAGCTTGTGAATGGGGAGACATTTACCTGGGGTCCCCAGCAAGTCAGCAATAAGAGAAAGGTGAGACCCAAGATGCCCGGATCCCATCCCATCCACTCCATATAGGGCCACCAAAGACCTTCCCTATCTGGGTCCCCTATCATTCTTTCTCATCTCTCTCCACCCCACACATCCAGTTCTGCCCAGATTCTCAATGTTCTCCAAACATGCCCTTGAATGAAAGATGCCTCTTTGTGCACCCTCTTTTCCCACTTATCTACCAGTGGGCTTAACTCCTACTCATCCCTAAGGCCCACTCAAATGTTTTCTTTTCTGGAACAAAAGCCTAAATTTAGTTTGTCCAGAACCCATTCATCTCCCCTCCTCTGTGTTCTCATGTATTCTCTATATACATTGATTTTAACAATTATTACCCTCCTCTATAATTGTCTATAATTGTCTTAGTACTCACTATATTTTTCTCTAGGGCAGGAATTATTTCTGCTTCTCCTCTGTCCCCAGGGCCTAGAAAGGTGTCTGGCACTCAGTTGGTACTCAGTAAATGTCACCAGCTAACCCGTCATCATGACTTACTGAGCCTGGCTGATGACCTTCAAAATAAACTCTGTTACTAGGTAATTTCCAGCAGGCGGAGTTATCGGGAAGGACAGGGCAAATGGTACCTGACGTAGGAATCCTGTAAGAAAAAGATGCCGGAGGAGAAACTGATGGAGACACAGGTCACAGGAGGAAGATGAGGAATCCAGGAGAAGGTCATGCTGGGCCCTGGGGACATAGTAACCATTCAGTCCCTGCCCTCAAGGAGCTCATGGTCTGCTGGGGAAATAAACAGAAGCACAATTTTATATGGAATGAGGCTGTAGTAGACCATTTTCTCCTCCTTATACCCTTTCTTTGCATGGCTTCCAAGATACCATCAACTCACCTAGCTTTCTACTTATCTTTTTGGTCTTCCTTCTCCATCTGGTTTGTTGCTTTTCCTAGTTTCCTCAAATTCGGAATATTGGAGGGCACTATTTTCCATCTACACTCACTCCCTTGGTGATCTCATCCAGTCTCATGACTTTAAACACCATCTATGTGCCAATGACTCCCAAATCCAGCCCAGATCTCTGCCCTGACCTACAGATTTGTATGCCTCCCTGCCGCCTCAACATCTCTACTCTAATGGGCATCTCAGACTCAACACACTCAAACCTGAGCTCCCCATCAAAAAAAAAAAAGAAATCCCTCCCTCATCACCTCCCCAGTCTTTCCCATCTCAAAACAGTTGCAACGCCCATCTTCTAGTTGTTCAGCCCAAAAATCGTGGCTCCTTTCTTATTCTGGCATTCTACGTCTGTTAGCAAACTTTGCAGTCTCTACCATTTAAATAAATTTAGAATTCAACTACTTCTCATCCACTACCTCTAGACTATCATAATAGGCTCCCAACTGGTCTCCCTGCTTCTGCCATTGTTTCCCCTATGCCCAGTCTATTCTTTATAGAACAGCCAGAGTAACTCAGTTAAAATGTAAATCAGATTGTGTGGACCCTGTGCTCACAACCCTCCACTGACTCCCTAACTCCTCATGTCCTACCTATTACTCGCCCTAGAGAACACTATGCCCAAGCCATTCTAGGCCCTCTGCACTTCCATTCTCTCTCACTGAAATGCTCTTCCACAAATATCAGAAGGCTCTCTGCTTCTTCAGACCTTTACTCAAAAGTCACCTTCCCAGTGACTTTGGCCCCCCAATCAAAAATAAAACACCTCCCCTGCAAATATTTTATTCCCACTTCTCAGATTTTTCTCCTCAGTATTTACTGCAATCTTAAAACTACATATTTTATTTATCTATCTTCTTCATTGTTTACCTCTCTCATAATGAAGGCTGTATGAAAAGAGGGACTTTTTTGGTCTGTTTTGTTTACTACTGTATACCCACTACTAAGAATAGTGACGGACATATACTAAGGCACTCAATAGGTATTTGTTAAACAAATGAAAAAGGTAGTCATTTCCAAGAGGCAAAGTGTACTCTTTAATGAAAAACTATAACAAACGGTGCTATTTGGCAATATAATCACATTCAATATGCACAGTACATGACCTCTTGAACAATTCTTATCCAATCTTCACATCAGCCCAGGATAGAAGGAAGGCTGGGCAGAGATTATGATGCTGGTTGACAAAGAAGCTGAGTTCAGAGAGCAAAAGGACTCGCCAAAACTCACATCTGTCCAGGACAGTACTGGAAATGTGGACGACTGCTGTCCCTGGAAGAGCCTGGTAAGTGATGGAGCTTAATAGGAATTGGGTTTGAAGGACCTCTGTTTCCAGAAAGCATGAGTATCTCTAAAGAGGAAGCTGAGTCAGAGGTTACAGGAACTGAGGCGTCAGCGAAGGAATGGGAGAGGTTACGAGGTTGACCTCTAAGGGGACTTGGCCCAGGTCTGAGGAGGGCAGCAGATTCCCCAAGCAACAGAATGCTGTGCCTGAGACTGACTAGTCATTCAAGTCTGTATATAATCTCCAATGTCAGAATTCAACAGACAACCTTAAGAGAGATCACTGAGTCTACTGCATGTCTGCAGGGTTTGGCTTCCCTGGACTGTGAGGTCTTCCAGGGAAGCCACCATTTTCATAGATGTATCCCCAGTTTCTAGCAAGGCCTGGAATATAGTAATATAGGAACTCAAATATTTTTGTTTAGAGCAAAAATAAAAAAGAATGAATGTGCTCAAACGGGAAACTGAAGCTGAGAGAGCACAGACAGGAGGGACATAACATTAACCAGCAATTCTGGAGTAGTAACAGATTAGTTTTCTGGGATGCAGCAGGACAAACGGCCCTCGCACTAAGAGGTTGCTGTCAACTATTCTTCAGAAGGGGTTAACAAGCAAATGTTGCCTGGGAACAAAGCGGCAGGGGTTAAATGTAGCCGTAGTAGTGGGGCCAGGATGCAGAGGCCGATTGGCTGAGCCTCGAGGCGGGTCACACTTCCTTCCCTAACACTGTGACTAAGGTATGCAACGTCACATCCGGTTTAGTGGGCGGGAGCAACGAACAAAAGGAGACGAAGGACGCATGCGTTTGGTGAGTCCCGGATTCTGGTGGGTTCTTCCGCTCAGGCTGAGTGAAGCGCTTCCGGGTCGCCGCCGGCTGCAGCTTCCCGGCGCGGTAAGTACAGAGACAAGGCTGCCGTCGTCTCCTTGCCCCTTCATTCCTTCTCCCACAGAAACCCATTTCCTTTGACCCGACTGCCCAGGAGCTCCATATTGAGAGTCCTTAACCCTTAAAGAGCTCCAGTTCATTGGCCGCTTCCTCGAGAGTAAGCCCCACCCCTCACACAAGGTTCGTCATTCATTGGTGTCACTTCCTGTCACCCAGCATTTCTTTCAGTTAATTGGCCCTACCCAGGCCCCGCTTTTTTCGCGTTTAGCAACCCTATAAGGCCAAATTTCTGTCTTGAGTCCCGCCCTACTTTCTTTCTGTTGGTCAACTGCATGGTCATTACCGTAATGAGTAAAGAATGGGCGGTGGCTTTGCGACGGTGGGTTGGGCTTTCCGAGCTGAGATCTCTGGCCTGTCAGTACTTCTTGGACATGAGGGTGTTTTCTCTCGTGCCTAATTACGCAGGTTGGGAATCTGAGATACAGGGAAGGGCAGCGGCTGGCCCTGGGTCGGTCAGATAAATTAGGACAGAAGCAGGACCACCATCAATTCTTTTCTCCTGCTCATCCCTTTCACGGAGGAGTTCTAAGCCCCGACTCACTGTATGACCTAAAGCCAGTCTCTGCCTGTCGCTGGGCCTCAGTTTGCCTGTCCTCAGTTTAATAAAGATTATCTAGCACTCCTGGTCGGCTCCCTCAGCCGCTCAAAGCTGATTGTACCCTTATAATGTTAGTTCATCCATTCAATCTTACATCTACTTATTTATCCACTTATTCATGCCTCCTAGAATGTCTTACTAAGCCCTGCTTGCATATGCTACAATCCCCCCACCCCAACATTTGGCTGTGATTCATGAGCGGTCGTTAGTGTCCTAAATTTCTGACACTGGGTGGGTGTGGCATGGGCCATCATAAAGGTGCAAAAAGCAGGTTTTAGTGTATAGAGGAGGTAGGGATAATTTCAGTAGAACCCTGCTACCTCTAATTTTGTATAATTTCATAATGCCAGTCTGCATTCTGGATTCCTATTCCTACACTTGACTCCCATTCCCTTCCCTCCTTGAACAACCTGCAAACAGCTTTATTTATCCATTATTTACTTAATTATCAGAATAACTTTGACGGTGGTATAATTGTTATTATCCCCATTTTACAGATGAAGACATTGAGGCCCAGAGAGGTTAAGTGACTCAGCCAAGGTCAAACAGCTAGTAAGTGTTGGAGCCAGGACTCAAAGCCAGGTCTATCTGATTCCTAGTGGGAGGGGCTGCTTTCCTGCTGTCTTCCACCCTATCCCTAAATCAAATTACAACCAAATTAAAAACGAAAACTAAGCAAAACACATTCACTTGACCCTTTCCCTCAGTCTAGGAGCCATGTCCACTTTGTTCCCCTCACTCTTCCCTCGTGTGACTGAGACACTGTGGTTTAATCTGGATCGACCCTGTGTGGAAGAGACAGAGCTGCAGCAGCAGGAACAGCAGCATCAGGCCTGGGTGAGTGAGCAGCTAGCACAGCACAGACAGAGACCCCAGCACAGACAGAGACCCCCTTCAGTGGGCCATGACCCAGCCTTATTCTGGAAATCTGCCCAGGAAGAGCTTTTTGCCCTCAGCTGGGAATAATCAGGCTGGGAGCCAGGGAGCCAAGGTTCTCATCTTTTCATACCCTAATTTACAGGGGTACCATGTGACTTCTGGGCCAGATTAGAGCCCAGGCTGCTGACACTCAGCCCAAGCTCTTTTCCCTAAAGCACAGGAAATAATTTTGACTATTGAGGATCTAGCAGATGACGCTTTCTAGGCTGGTAAGTCTCTCACTTCATCCTCACCATAATTATATGAAAAAACCAAGGCTCAGAGAGTTTAAGTATTTAGATCAAGTTCATAAATGGCAGATGACAAGAGAGGGATTGAATCTCCCTGAGAACTGGGAGGAGGCTTCTCCCCCACACGTGTGGCTCGTCTTCTGGGCAGAATGGGCCAGTCCCATGCCCCTGACCTGCCCTACTTGGGCTCTGGCCTTTTTCGTCTGTGCCTTTGCCCACAGCTCCAAAGCATCGCAGAGAAAGACAACAACCTGGTTCCTATTGGCAAGCCAGCCTCAGAGGTGAGTGGCTCTAGCAGGTGGGGCCTGTGTGGGGGCCACAGTGGACCGAGGCTCTGCTCTAATTCTGAATGTTCTGCCTCTCACCCAGAGCAGTTGTGGTTCTCAGATCTGGGTGAAGGGCAAAAACGAGAGATAGAAGGGGTGGGCATTGGGCCTAGCATTAAGGTCCTGCAGAACATGCACCAGCCTGCTAGACTCAAGGAGGGAGGGTTGGGGTGGGGGGTCATTCATTGGCCCTAGAGAGAGGTTCAAGTGGGTCAGTTCTTGAACTGATCCACGCAGGCCTGTAGGGCTTACAGGCTCTGTCCTGCCCACCAGCACTATGATGACGAGGAAGAAGAGGATGATGAAGACGATGAGGATAGTGAAGAGGACTCAGAGGATGATGAGGACATGCAGGACATGGACGAGATGAATGACTACAATGAGTCGCCTGATGACGGAGAGGTCAATGAGGTAGGCAGGGGGTATGGGGGAGGGCCTCTCTTCCTGGGCCCCTGCTTCTGACCCAGTTGATGGCCAAAGGGTACAGAAACCCTGGATCCAGCCAGGGACAGGATCTGGGGCTGAGGCTGGCTGAGGCCCCTCCCCACCCACACCCAGCCTCCTCTCCAGGTGGACATGGAAGGCAACGAACAGGATCAGGACCAGTGGATGATCTAGGTAGACAAGGCAGGGTGGCCTCAGAGAGATTCCAGGCCAGCCCAAACTACCCTGCATCCCAACCCCCAACCCCTGCCCACAGAACCAGCTGATGGCCCCAGTGCCTGAAAGTGCCCTTGGGCACCTCCTCAGCTGCTGCCAGGATCTGGTCTCCTTGGCCCCTCCCAGGCCATCGATCTGCACTTGAAATCCCCAGGGCCTGAGCCCCACTCCACCTTCCTGGCCAGTACCTCACCCCTTGATTGGCAGGTCTGGTCTCTTTCTAAGTTTCTTTAATAAAGACAAAGGAGTGATTTTCCCCCCATGTCTATTCCCTCTTTGTTGGTGGGGCCCAGAGGAGTCCAGCATCTTCTTTTGGGCTTTGGGGAGAGGGCACTCAAGGGACATCAGCCACACCTAATTGGCTAAGTGGGCCAGGGTTAGGGAAGGCCAGGGCATGCCTGGCCCTGGGTCCAGGGTTCTGTGCCATTTTCTCTGGCCCAGCTTGCATCCAGCTATTCCTGCAGGGCCTCTAACTCACTGTCTGCCACTTCCTCTGATCCCACCCTGAATGGCATGGGCTGAGGATGGGAGGCTTTCTGAGGCCGAGAACTGGGAGGTCCCTGGAGCTCTCCCATCCAGCTTCCTTCATGTTAAGAGAGAAGATTAAATCTCAGAGCAAGGCAGGGATTCCCTTGGAGTCACTCAGCAAATCAGTGACAGAGATGGGTCAGGAGCTCAGCAAGAATGCTGTCAGTCCATGGTTCTCCCTGGAAAGAGGGGGCCTAGTGAGACCAAGCAGCCTGATAGAACTTGACACTTGAGGTCAGTGTAGAGGCTGAAAGGGGTCAGAGGTGGGAAGAGAGACTCCCTAGCCCTGAGCCCAGCATGTGTCAAGGCCCCAAACAGGAAAGGGAGCAGATTCTGAGGTCCCTGCTTGGGTGGGGGTGGGGGTGGGTGTGGGCATCAGTAAGTACCCCTGGACCTGGACCTCAGCCTGGTCCAGCATAGGTGAGCTGAGCTATGCCATCCTTGATAGCAGGGAAGTCTGGAAGGCCAGTGTGGTAGAGGCGGCAACGGTAGCGGCCACAGCTCTTAGCATACTGCAAGAAGCGGGGTGCACCAGGGAAGAGCACATGGTCAGCCAGCACAGTGCCACCTGCTGGCAGTAGGGCATGGGCCTCCAGCAGCTGCAGGTCCCTCAGGTAACATCGTGGCCGGTGTATCAGGAGCACCAGGTCTGCCCGACTCAGCTGATACTGGGTGCGTAGGCACGGGATCACCTCCTCTGAGCTGCCCACGATGAGCTCCACCTGTGAGGATAGGGGGAGCTGGAGGTGAGGGTGGGGGGAATTGTTCTCCCAGTGAAGACCCCACCAGGATCTGGCTTACTTCATGCCAGGTCCTGGCTTAGCTCCCCATGAGTGTTCTCACATTTCCTCTGACCTCAGAACCTAAGAAGTCAGGATCAGTATTGTGATTTCCATTCTGCCTGTGAAGAAGCTGAGGTTCAGAGGATGCATGCTTTGCTAAAGGTCACATAGCTAACAAGAGGCAGAGTAAGAGCTGGACCCAAATTTGCTGGGTTCCAGAGGCCTTCCTCTTAGCTGTTTCTTTTGTCATCCGGCAGAAAATAATGTGCAGATGACTTGGGACACGAGGACACACCATCCAGCATCACAGTCCCCAGCGTGGAGGTGCTTCCTTCTCCTTAGATGGGAGTCCCTCACAAGGGATGTCTGGCTAGGGCAAGGCCTGGGGTGACAGAAATCTGGGTTGGGGAGATGGGAGACTGACCATGTGCTCATCAAAGCCGGCCAGGCGGATGAGTTTTTCAGCCACTGCTGCTGTGCGTGGGTCCCGCTCCACAGTAAGAAGGCGACCCCCAGGGGGCAGGGCTTGGGCAATAAGCAGGGTAGAGTATCCACAGTACGTTCCCAATTCCAGCACACAGGCAGGGGCCTTCTCCTCCACCAGCCGCATCAGGATCTGACCTGTGTGGGGAGATGGCTATTGCAGAAGACATGGGAGACGAATGCAGGGCCCCTGATAGAAAGATATCTCAAATGCTCACCTGCCTCACTGCAGCTCCCAACCAGTTGGGGTCTCATCTGTCTCTTGTACCATAGCCCCAACTGCCCTCCTGGTCCCCGTCTCCTACAGTGTAGTCTTCACACCAGCCCTGGAATCTTTCCAACCAATCTGACCTTATTACTCCTTGGCTTCTGTGAGCTGAAGGCCTTTGGAATTGAACTTGGGATCCTCAGCCTGGCATTCAGGACCTTGGACCTGATCCTATTCTACCTCCCAGGTTCATCTCTCAGTACTTCCCACCTATGGCCTGTATCACAGCCATCCCAAACAACTGTACCCAGAATCCATCATGCTGTCTCATTCCTTCATGCCACATGTGTATATGTGGCTGGCTTTGCCCTTCCCACCCCCATCTCCATCTGCCTGGCCAACTCAAAACTTCCAGATTCAGTTCAAATGTTGCTCTTTCTCCATGAGGTCCCAGGCAGAAACAACCACCCTATCTTTGAGATTTATGAAAGGTCTCTGTTAGAATTTGTAGTTTCATTCCCCTTTTATTGCTCATTGAATATATTTCTGATCTTGGAATTGGACGAACTTCTATTTATTTATTTATTTATTTATTTATGAGACCAGGTCTTGCTGTGTTGCCCAGGCTGGAGTGCAGTAGCGTGATCATGGCTCACTGCAGCCTTGACCACCCAGGCTCAGGCAATCCTCCCACCTCAGCCTGCCTAGTAGCTGGGACCACAGTTACTCACCACCACACCCGGCTAATTTTTAAATTTTTTGTACAAACAGGGGTCTCGCTTTGTTGCCCAGGCTAGTCTCGAACTCCTGGGCTCAAGTGATCCTCCTGCCTCGGTCTCCCAAAGTGCTGGGATTACAGGCACGAGCCACCAGTGCCTCAGCCAGTGAGCCACCAGAAATTCAGCCAGTGAATTTCTGAATTTCTTTCCTTTTTTTTTTTTTTTTTTTTTTGAGACAGGGTCTTGCTCTGTCACCCATGCTGGAGAGTGCAGTGGCACAATCACGGCTCACTGCAGCCTCAGCCTCCTGGGCTCAAGCAGTCCTCCCACCTCAGCCTCCAAAGTAGCTGGGACCACAGGTGTGTGCCACCATGCCCAGGTAATTTTTGCATTTTTTGTAGAGATGGGTTTTTGCCATGTTGCCCAAGCCGGTCTCAAACTCCTGAGCTCAGGCAGTCTGCCCACTTTGGCCTCTCAAAGTGCTGGGATTACAGGCGCGAACCACCACACAGCCACCACACATTCTTAAATAAGACCCTAAAAGCATTTATGCTGGGATTGAGATAAATCCAGGCAGACAGCTACCCTAAATGGTATGTGGAAGCCTCCATGGTGGAGAAGAAAGATGTGGAGACAGATAATTACAAAGCTATGGGTTATCTGCTGAGATGGTTATTCCACTGTGTATTATGCTTCCTTTGAGGCCAGCATTTATGGCTAGTTCATCTCTGTGGCCTCTACCCCCTCTCCCTGGCACCTAGCACATTCCTAATACAAAAGAGGTGGCAATAAATGTTTGCTGAATAAATGACTTAGTCCAAGCTCCCCTTTTCCAGATGAGAAAAAAAAAGAGGCCCTAAAAGAGGATCAAGAACCTGCCCTATTCACCCAGTAAAGCAGCAACAGATCCCAAATATTCCTTCACTGCCTTGGGGGTACTTCTTGGAGCAGAAGGCTAGGGAACACTGACCTTTGACAGGCCCCATATGGCTCAAGTACTCGCAGTGGCTGCTCCAGTGGTCCAGGGTGGTGAGGATGTGACCGGGGTCACCGGGCAGGGCATGGGTGAGCACGTAGCTGAAGGCCCGCTCCTCGATCCGCAGCCCTGACAGGCAGTCTCGGAGGCTTCGCAGCAAGACTGTGCCCACCAGCAATCGGAAGTAGTGCCGGTACCGCACCAGCAATGTTACCACCAGTGGCAGGAAGGCCAATGCAATGGCAGGGGACATGGTCCCTACCTGGGTCCTGGGGTGGAGGGAGGGAAACCCACACCCACAATTTAACTATTTGTGTAGCCTTTGCCAGTAGCAATTATCCTTATGTTTTACAAACCATGGCTCAGAAAGGCTAAGGCTTTTGTCCAGAGTCACACAGCAGAACTGGGATTTGAATCCAGGTTAGTATGATTCCAAGCCTGTGTACTTTCAAGGACTCCATACTGTCTACTTTCAGCACCCAGCCCCAAATCACCTCTTCCCAGTCCCAACCCCTGGTTCCATCTTCACATTGTTCCCCTGACTTGTTTCTCTTTATCCCTGAAGTCACCCCTTCTTCAGGGCCCCTTTCACTAGTTCCCCTCTGGGATATCTTCCCCCACCCCTACCCTCTGCCTGCTTGGACTCCTCTGACCACTGCTGTGTAGCAAAAGAGCATAGGTTTGCAGTCAAAAACACCTTCACCATCACTGTGCCCTGCCTCAGTAAAAGGCAATCAAAATACTCCATAGGGTGTTAGGGTGAGATGTCCTCTTTCCCATCCCAGGAGCCTCCCTCTGCCTGCTCTTCCCTGCGGATAGGAGGAGTCTTTGATTCTGTAATAATTCTCCAGCCCTATCTCCTCTCCGCTGTATTCCCTTCTTCTCCTGTGCTGTCTTAGAATTCCCTTCACAAATGTGTACATACACATAACACACAGCACACATATTCCCTCTACTCAGCTCTTCTCTCCAGAGGCCTATGGGGAATGGGCCTCTCCTCCCATGTCCTGGGCCATTCTCTTCCTCATCCAGATCTGACCTCCTTGCAGGCCTTCTTGCAAGGCCCCTGGTGGTGGCGGGGAGTAAAAATGAAAGAGTGTATGGATGGGTGTGAATAGATGAGTGATGCGGTGGGCTTGAACTGGTGTGCTTGGGAACCCACAATCCAGGGCCCTGCTTACCTGGGCTGGAGGCTCCTGCTTAGGCAAGACCAGAGCACAGGACAGGTTGAGGGAGTCCAGGGCCTGCTATGGGGGATAACTCTGAGCAGGAGGCTGGACTGGCTTTCAATTATTCATGCTGAGGTGGCTACTGTCACCTGAGACCTGCAGTTCAAGTTACCAGCCCCAGGGATGAGCTTAAGCTGCCTCCTACCCTTCAGGAACCTCAAAAGATTTACAGAACCTCAGGGTCTTGATTTGAGCGGTTATAAGAGGTACGAGATCTGGCGACTTCTGCGATCCCTTGGATCAGGAGATGGGGCATGGGGTGAGCCAAGGTGATGAGGTGACTGTAATGTACTCATTGATACGCAAGTTTTTTGTAAGCAAGGCCATGCCTTGGACCACAGGTAAGAGTCAGAACCTGTCATTGTGCTCTAGGAACTCCCAAGTTTGGTAGGTGAGACTGACCCAGGAACATAGAATATAGTGTGATCACTATTGGATGTTCCACGACTACAGGGACTTTGGCTGTTTTGTGAACTGATGCATATCCAGATATAACAGTGTGTGGCACATAGTAGACGCTCAGCAAATATTTGTTAATAAATGCATGAATTAACACTGGATGAGGATTAAGCATAGAGAGCTGGACATGTCCAGAGAATGGGGTCAGAGAAGGTAATCAGGAGGACATTGTACTGAGTCTCGAAGACAGTAGGCAGACCAGGCTGCATGTGCAAAGTCCAGTAGATCAATCAGGAAACATCATTTCTCTACGTCCAGTGAAACAGATTGCTCACCCCTCCACCCCCTCACCCCTCACCTCAGAACATGCAGTGGGAGAGAGGTGTCAGGCTGTGCGTGACTTTGATATGTCAGATGGGTAATGTGCCAAAACAAGATTTGAGGGTGGGCGCATTTCACACACGCGGAATCACACGCGCATGAACAACAAATGGATCACTATACAATTTTGGACGGACTTGGACCTGTGTTCAGGGCCCAAGGGAAGACATGGGGGAGGAGGGGCGTTTAGGAAAAGAGAACTGATGGTCAGCTTTGTGCGTTAGATTTACTATGGGTCCTGTAAAAAAAAGGCAGAATTAAAGATAAAAGCCTGAAGGCAGAGAGGTCAGTGAGGTGACTTCTATCTCCTCCACCAGGATTTATCTCCGCTCCGCGTCAGCATGTGAAAGTAGTATAAGGTCCCTTCTTCCTGTAAGTCGCAGATCCCCAGCCCAGGTGCAGAATACACCCTCCGTGTATTCACCCCCAGCCCAGCTGGGCGATACACCCTCTGTTCCCCTACTGGGTACCGGTCATCTGGATCCTCTGTGTGTGCACCCAGGCTGTACGATCTAGGAGCGTCAGGCCTGGATCCCACTCGCCCCTCGCATGGCATTAAGAAGAGTATATCACGAGGGCATACAAGGGCATTTGGTACGAGTTCGCTCAATGGCCCAGAGAAGTGGCCTAGTGGCCACGAGAACGCATAACACAATTCACTACGGCCACTACTGCCAGTTTAGCGACTGGAAAGATGAAGTCATGTGATCCGCCCCTCCCTTTCCTCGCTTCACTTGCCTGCGTGTCCGGTTACGCCTTCCCATTGGTTGACAACGATCACGCGCTAGCGGGCGGGACCGGAAGCCGGGGTATTGCCTGAGGCGGCCCAGCGGCTCCGGGAGAAGGGATACGGGGGGTGGCGGCGGGTGGTTGCCTGCGGGAGGCAGTTGCGGGTCATGTGACCGGAAGGGCTCCTGACGGACGCCGTCCCTCCTCGGCGCGGCCTGAGCGCCCGGCCTGACCCCGGCCATGGGGTGCTGCTACAGCAGCGAGAACGAGGACTCGGACCAGGTGCGGCCGCGGCAGGCGGGGCTCGGGAATGAGGGCTAAGACCCTGGGGCTTGGGGCCCCAGAAAGAAATCTGCGGAGAACGGGCAGCTGGACTGCAGGGCTCACTGAATACGGAGGCCTGGAGGGGACAGATTACACAGGAGACGCCAAGCCGGACTCCTACCCCAGTTAAAGCCCCAGCTTTCTACGCGGTCCCCGCCTCGGGGTGTACAGGCAGCTGCTCCCGTACAACCGGCTCGCTCCCACCACTTCCGTTTGCTCCTACCTTCAAAACTTTCCAGATTCAAGGATCCTCAGTCTAGGTCCCCGGGAAATACTCCCTTCCCAGCTTCCTGTCTTCTCTGTATTAGTGGGCTTTGCGAATCCATTGCAGGGGTGGGTAAGCTGAGGCCCTGAGTTAGGCTGTCCTGCGATGAATCAGGAATTCATGTATCGTCTTAGTCCCTGGGGTTGCAGAAGGAAGGTCGCTGCTAGTTTAGGGCCAGAGGACGATTCTGGAAGTTGGTGGCCTTTGAGTTGGCCAATGAAGGATTTAACGGATACAGTGAGGACATCGGGACATGGGGGAAATTGTCTGGGAAGCAACAAAGAGGGTTTAGCTTTGACTAGATTGTGGTAAAAGAGAAATGGAGCGGGAAGTTCATTTGGTTCTGAGTTTGGCTTGCCTCAGTGCAGTCTGCCTGGGGCCTGAGGGTTCCTTTAGCTGGAGACATGCCTGTTCTGAGAATTTGGCTGTAGATCTGATCCCTCTGACGAAAGGCTTAGGCTGGGGAGACCTGTACAGTTTTAAATTCTCCCTCTTCCTCTTAGTGCATTCTCACTTCTCTCCACATTCTAATCCCTGCCCCGCCTGGCCTGACATTCAAGGATGAAGTCACAAGTTGCTGTCCACTCTCCTTTTTTGAGCGTCTCTAACCCTGGATTCTACATTTGAACATATAGTAGACCTGAGAAAGTAGAAAGGTTTCAAGTAGCTCACAGTCTAATAGGGGAGATGGTCACAAAAATAGATTATATCACTGGTACTTGGAAAGTAGTTATTTCTTCAGTGAACGTATTTTGGATTAAGGGCTTAAGCTTAGGAAAATGTCATTTGTGGCCGGGCGCGGTGGCTCAAGCCTGTAATCCCAGCACTTTGGGAGGCTGAGACGGGTGGATCATGAGGTCAGGAGATCGAGACCATCCTGGTTAACACGGTGAAACCCCGTCTCTACTAAAAAATAAAAAAAAAAACTAGCCGGGTGAGGTGGCGGGCCCCTGTAGTCCCACCTACTCGGGAGGCTGAGGCAGGAGAATGGCGTGGACCCGGGAGGCGGAGCTTGCAGTGAGCTGAGATCCGGCCACTGCACTCCAGCCTGGGAGACAGAGGGAGACTCCGTCTCAAAAAAAAAAAAAAAAAAAAGAAAATGTCATTTGTATGGGAAGCAAGGGTCGCTTCTGGTTCTCAATTCTTCATATACCCAATGAACACATATTTCCTTTGCTCTGTGTTAGGCATGTGTCATGCCTAATACCTCTCACTTCACCTCCACCTTTTTGAGAAAGAGACAACAATAACCCTGCCTACTGGGAGAGCTGTGGCCTAGTGGGAAATTGTCCCTTAAAGCATAATGTGGACTCTTGCAGGGAATGAGTCAAGAAGGATTAATGCCTTATGAGAAAGGATACCAGCTTCTACTTGGAAGGGAGAGCTGGGCCTGCTGCTCTCCTGAATCTCTACCTTCTCCTTGGTGGGCTCTCCTTTCTGTTCCTAACACCCAGAGAAGGTGTTTAATCACTGCTGGGTGATTTGAGGCCTCACGTAGCAAGAGCCGTAACCATCCACCTCCCAGAGTCCCTCTTTCAGTTCTTGAGCAGGCTCCTCTCCCACTCTCATCTCTGTCTCTTTATCACAATAAAAAATGTACAACACATTACAGTTTACAAAGGGCCTTGATAGTTATCTAATTTGACTCTTGCCAGACATCTGTCATATTAGTGTGGGTTATGTCTATTTAAAGGTGAGGAAAAAGTTCAGAGAAGCTAAGTGATTTGGCCAAGCTGAGAAGTGCTAATGCCCGGGCGTTCTGATGCCAAGCCATGTACTTTATCCATGGGGCCAAGCAGTCTCATCTATGCCCCTAGACCAGGTGGCCAGTCATGGGCAGGGTGCTATGTCTGTGCTAAGGTAGACAGTGAAACCCTGCCTCTTGGGTTACACTGACGCAGAGACAAACCTTGATGTGACAAACCTAACCCATGCTCCACTTGCACTTCGGGAGTGGGGTGATACTTGTCTACTCTGAAGGGGGTAGCATGGCCTCTTCTTTAAGTCTAGGTTTCAAGAAAACAACCTTGTTCCTCCCTTGATCTTAGCTGAAGGCTGAGAAGTGATCAGCCAACCTTCTTCTTGAAGAACCCCTGATAGGGAAGAGACTACCCTGTCCTGCAGGAAGATCTGTCTGAAGTGGAGCTGGGAGAAGGACAGACACATAGGAAGCTAACTTGGGCCTCATTATGGAGCCAGCTTTCCTTAGAAATACATAGTTTTATCTTTGGCAAACATTTTGTCTTTTTTTTTTTTTTTTTGAGACGGAGTCTTGCTCTGTCGCCCAGGCTGGAGTGCAGTGGCCGGATCTCAGCTCACTGTAAGCTCCGCCTCCCGGGTTCACGCCATTCTCCTGCCTCAGCCTCCCGAGTAGCTGGGACTACAGGCGTCCGCCACATCGCCCGGCTAGTTTTTTTGTTATTTTTTAGTAGAGACGGGGTTTCACCATGTTAGCCAGGATGGTCTCGATCTCCTGACCTCGTGATCCACCCGTCTCGGCCTCCCAAAGTGCTGGGATTACAGGCTTGAGCCACCGCGCCCGGCCTCATTTTGTCTTTTTAGCTCTTTAATACTGAGCCTGTGTTTTAGGGAGGAAGGGTGTCTGGGAGTTTATAGAGGTAATGGGGCAAAGCCCACAGCTTCTGTCTTTTGCTGCTGGGAACTGGATCAAATTGCCTGAGGACACTTGGGCAACCTAGGCTTGAGAAAGAAGAGTAAGGTGAAAAGGCTGGGCCTCCCTAAGCAGGGCAGGAGGAAGTAGCCCTCTACAAGGAGAGTTGTGGAGTTGTGGGCAGGGGAGCTGGAGCCTGCAGCAGGAAAGACTGAGGAACTGAGACAGGCCTGGAGGGGAGCATTGAGGAGTCTGACACTGAAGGTTGGTGAGTCAGCATTAGCCAGGATGTCCCCCTGGGCCCATCCTTGGCTTTGTCCAGGGCACTCTTGCTCTTTATGGGTTGGATAGATACCCAGCAGGTCTGTTTTTCCAATTTACCACTGATAACAGCAATCAAGGATTTGCAGATGATGGACTCAAGGCAGGGTCAAATCCAGAAATATTACAGTAGATAGAACAGGGGACTGAAACAGGACAAGTAGTAAGACCAAACCAGTGAGGAAGCTTGGTTTGGTCTTACGTTAGTTCAGGGGTTGTGATTATCAGCATAGGCCAGCAGTAACAGGGCTGCTGAAAATTTACATGGGCTACTCAGGTGGTTTAGCAAGGGCGGGAATAGCTCCATTGTTGTTTGTTTTGAGATGGGGTCTTGCTCTCTTGCCTAGGCTGGAGTACAGTGGCACATTCCTAGCTCACTGCAGCCTCAAACCCTGGGTTCATACAGTCCTCGCACTTCAGCCTCCCAAGTAGCTGGGACTGCAGGGCTCACACTACCAAGTCCAGCTAATTTTTTTTTTTTTTTTGGTAGAGACAAGGTCTTGCTTTGTTGCCCGGGCTGGTCTCAAACTCCTGGACTCAAGCAATCCTCCTGCTTTGGGCTCCCAAAGTGTTGGGATTCCCAGTATGAATCACCACACACGGGTACAGCTCTACTGCTCAGATCAGGATACACCTCGTACACTCAGTTTGATTCTGGGAGTCACATAGAAAAAGAGCACCAGAGCACAAGAGGGTGAACACCTTCCTAGGGACCTGCCTTCAAGAAGGGAACACACTTGTACTGTGTGACCCAGAGCTGGACTGGGATTCCTGCCCTGACATAATTTGAGAAATGGCCATGGAGAGGTTGGGCTTGCTTTCCCTTGGGGCCTAGGGCCTTGTCTGGACTCACCAGGGCTTCCATCTTGGAAGGAAACAGCTTTGCTGGGGAGGGCCTGGTCCTGGGGGATGAGGAGGGCTGTTCTTGGGCTCCTGACTTGCACTGGTTTCCCCTTTAGCTCCCATTGCTTTGCTATGTCTCAGCTCCTCTGTCTTCCAGTCTCTAGTATCCTTTCTCTGCCAGGTCCTAGAATGTTTTTCAAGCTCCAGGGCTGTTGCTGACTATCTGCTTTGTGCCTCTGTCCCTTTTTTCAGGGCCTCTAGGACTGCCTGGCTCCACTCTCGTTTATCCTAGAACACCAACTCAGCTGAGCTCCCAAGGATAGGCAGGAACTGAGTCTTATCTGGCATTCCATAAAGCTGGGCACTTTGGATATTCCTTATAGAAATATTTTTGGTGTTTAAGGTCAGAGCTAGGCTGAGGGTAGCACCCATGAAAGGCAGGATCTAAGGGTCCTGGGGCTGACTTCTCTCCCATGACCACTTCTAGGACCGAGAGGAACGGAAGCTGCTGCTGGACCCTAGCAGCCCCCCTACCAAAGCTCTCAATGGAGCCGAGCCCAACTACCACAGCCTGCCTTCCGCTCGCACTGATGAGCAGGCCCTACTCTCTTCCATCCTTGCCAAGACAGCCAGGTAAATGTCAGAGGACCAGGCCTGGGTCAGAGCTCCTCTATCCATATTAAAGGCCAGGATAGAAGGAGCAAGGCTCAGGACATGGGGGATGGGATAAGGTCACTGGAGAGAGGTGCCTCCATGTCCAGCCCTGCTCCAGTAGGCAGGAGGGAAACGAGTCAGATAACTCTGGAGTTGGTACCTGGCACTGAGTCCTGTTTGTCCTTCTCAAAAGCACCTGTCATGTCATCTCTGTCTCTTCTCCCCAAAGCAACATCATTGATGTATCTGCTGCAGACTCACAGGGCATGGAACAGCATGAGTACATGGATCGTGCCAGGCAGTACAGGTGAGCACCTGGCCAGCGTGGGTCCCTCAGGCTACTTGGGCTCCTACCCTCTATCACTGTTCCAGCTTCGGAGCCTGGCCCCTAGTCCAAGCTTCTCATTTGGTGCAGCCCTGGAGACTGACCACAGATCACTTGGGTGCTTCAGTAAATATTCATGTCAGCCCTGTTTACCCTGTGACACTCTCGAGGGCATTGAGGCCAAGGGAGGTGGGCCTAGAGTGATTCTGTGATGAGCTGAGACCTTCCCTCCCAGATACCCCCCTCAGCACCCTGCTTCTCTGGCCTGAGGGGATGAGGCTTACCTGGGCTGGGCAGGGCAGACTGTGGCTTAACTGCATACCCCCACCCCCTCTCTCGGTCAGCACCCGCTTGGCTGTGCTGAGCAGCAGCCTGACCCATTGGAAGAAGCTGCCACCGCTGCCGTCTCTTACCAGCCAGCCCCACCAAGTGCTGGCCAGTGAGCCCATCCCGTTCTCTGATTTGCAGCAGGTGAGACACCCCTTGCCTGCCCCTGCCCACCCTTCCCACACTGCCCAGGGTATGGCAGAGGGTTCACCCACTCTGCCTCAGAGGAGGTAGGGAAGATGGAGTTAGGGAGCCTGGTAGCCTTGTGGGCCCCAGTTCCCTCTCACCTCGTTCTCTTAACGTATGTCTTTCCTATCTCCTTCCCGCAACCTTTATTGTTTCACTCCCCTTTGTTCTTTTCCTTCTGTCTCTCCCATCCCTGTCTTTCTCTCTGCCTTCCTGTTCCCCATCATTCCCTCCTTCTCCTTCATCACCATCTAATCTCCCCTCCCGCTTATTCCTGATCGGCCTCCTCACCTGTCTCTGTTCCTCTCCTCCCCGGTCCCTCTCTGTCTTAGGTCTCCAGGATAGCTGCATATGCCTACAGTGCACTTTCTCAGATCCGTGTGGACGCAAAAGAGGAGCTGGTTGTACAGTTTGGGATCCCATGAAGAGAGGGGTCCTTGGACAGCTCTTCTCCTCTCTTCATCCCCCCCCTACCCCCCCCCCTTGGCCCCCAGCCTCACTGCGGCTTATATAGTACCCTAACCTGCTACTAATCACAGAGAAAAATGTGAAGAAGGAGGAGAAGAGGAAGGCTGGAAGCCTGAGCAAGTGAGGGTAGAACCTTTTGGGACTGGCCTTTGAAGCTCTGGCCAGGGATGGGGTGGGGGCCAAAAGGACAGAGCCTGGTATGTCGTCATAGTCATTGAGAATGTGGAGATACCAGTTTGGGTGGGGGGTGATCACCAGGGGACCTAGGGAGATCCCCTTCCCACCCTCTCTCGGCCTCAAAGTCACTCCTGCCCCCTCTCCCTGACTTGGTGCTCACATGCACCTCACGAGGGTTTGTGACCAGGGTCTGGATGAGCTTGAATTTGAATGAATTGAGTTTGTATTTCTAGAACCCTGGGTTTTTACATGTTTGGTCTTTTTTTTGTTTTGGTTTGTCACCCTCGATAAAGGAAGTATATTCATCCGTGTGCTGGTTCTAGCCCCTCTGTCCTATCCATTCTACTTTTGACTACTCAGGTCTATGAGAGTAAGATGGGGGGCAGGGGGCATCTTGCAGAGGCACTGAAGATGAATCCAGGAGATAAGGGTTTAGGGTGTCAGCTCCTAGCTGAGACCTGGCTTGGGCTAACCTCAGATTGGATGAGACTGTTCTTGTCCCTTGTCCAGTGATGATGGGAACACTGTCAAAGCTGAACAGACCTGAATCTGAGGCAGCTTTGATTCTTGGGGGCCCTGCCTCAGACTCAGTGGAATTGCCAGCAGCCCCTGGGGGTGAAGGGAGACACCACCGCAGGTCGACGGGTGGAGAGTGAAAGCAGACCAGACTCTTCTGGGAATACGTAATATGGAGTCAGCAAGCAAATGTTTTTAAGCAGAAGATTCTTTTTATCAAATGAAATCCTAAGCAGAATCCCAGCATATAAAACATAGAACGGAATTAACTTTGATCTGATTGAAGTGGGGGCTGGTTTCAGAGATCATAGCCCATCTTCTTGGCCTGTCATGGAGGCCTGTGAGGCATCTCTACAGACCCTGGTACTCTGAAGAGTTTGGAAATTACTGATCTACTTTAACCCCCAAATCTCTAAGCTGAGAAGTACAAAGGGGCCCAGAAAGTTAGATAAATTTCCCAAGGCTATGTGGTAAACCCAGGTCTCCAGTCCCAGACCAGCAGGCCTGTCCCTCAATTGCCTCCCTTTTTCAGCAAAATAAGACTAGAGCTGGCCAGGTATAGTGGCTTATACCCGTAATCTAGCACTTTGGGAAGCTGAGGTGGGCGGATCACCTGAGGTCAGGAGTTCGAGACCAGCCTGGCCAATATGGCAAAACCCCATCTCTACTAAAAATACAAAAAAAGGCCAGGGGTGGTGGCTTACACTTGTAATCCCAGCACTTTGAGAGGCTGAAGTGGGTGGATCACCTGAGGTCAGGAGTTCGAGACAAGCCTGGCCAACATGGCGAAATCTTGTCTCTACTAAAATGTAAAAAATTAGCTGGGTGTGGTAGCAGGCGCCTGTAATCCCAGCTACTCAGGAGGCTGAGGCAGGAGAATTGCTTGAACCTGGGAGGTGGAGGTTGCAGCGAGCTGAGATCGTACCACTGCACTCCAGCCTGGGCGACAAGAGCGAAACTGTCTCAAAAAAAAAAAAAAAAAAAAAAACCAGTCATGGTGGTGTGCGCCTATAATCACAGCTACTGGAGAGGCTGAGACAGGAGAATCTCTTGAACCTGGGAGGCAGAGGTTCCTGTGAGCCAAGATCGTGCCACTGTACTCCAGCCTGTGCAACAGAGTGAGACTCTGTCTCAAAAAAAAAAAAAAAAAAAAGAAAAGGCTAGAGCTACTTGCAGTTGCCTGACTTAGAGAACATCTCTACAAGGTGTAAGTGACTTCTCATCTGCTCAACAGCTCAAATCATTTATTGTCAAACCATGCTGTCTATTCTCAGGCCTTTAGGACTACTAGGGTCGTGGGAGCCTCAAAGTGTATTCTGCTTGATCCGGGCCTTCTTGGGCTTGATGTTCATGCGTTTCCAGACTTCAGCTGTGGTGCGGTCTGCTTTGGTGACCCCACTGAAGTCGAACGTGGTGATATGGGGCAGGGTGCACAGCACATATTGCCTGTGGGGAAGACTCAGGCTAGGGGCCAGACCCCCCACCAAAATCCCCTTCCCCCTCCACCAGTTGCTGTTGTCTTCCTGGACTGCAAGGAATGGAGGGACTTGAGCATAGTTTGGGGAAGATTAAGTTTATCCTGACTGAGAGCAAGGAATGCTTAGAGGTCGGCTACCCACTTCCCAGGTCTAAGCATGGCAGAAGAATGGTCTTAGATTTCTTGTTTCTCCTCCTCCTTTCCCTTAGGGGAGCCCAGCTAGACCCTACCTCCAGGGGCAGGGCACTTACCTATACCCTTTCTCTTCCTCCATGGGGTTCCCATGGAGTGTCAGGCTCCGGAGCCGAGGAAGGACAGCCAGCTTATTCACCTCCCCCAGGTGCTGGATGCTGTTGCCGTGAAGATAGAGGACACTCAGGTTGAAAAAAGTTGTTAGGACCTGTTGGGGAAGGAAACCAAAAGCCAGGCTAGACAGGACAGGACCCTTAATCTCTGCTCAGGGCTGATTTGTGGGCAGAGAAGAAAGAATGTGGGCAACAACCTGCCCTCCACTCCAACCCTCCACAGCCATACTGTATGACTCTAATCTACTGTTATTTACCTTTTAAGACATACAGGGCATCACACTGAAAAGGAGCTGTGATCTGAGGGTCAGGAGGATGGGCCTGGGTGCCAGCACTGCCACTGACTTGCCTCTCCTGCCTCTCTCTCAGCCTTAGTTGCCCCTTCACTGAAGACCTTTCCAGCTTTGGTGATCTACGATTCTATCACAGCGAGCAACGGGAAGAGAGTATCATGCTAGGCACATAAGAAGCTTTTAAAATACTGATTAAATTGAGATCACCACACCAGGGGAATAGTTTCCAAGTCATGCTCCAGCTCCTTTCCCCTCTTAGGGATCTTGGACCAGAAAAGGCCAAACTTTATTTCTTAAAATTTGAATCTGAGTTCACAGAAAGTAAGTGCTGTACTTTTATTGACTACCTCTTCCACAGGAGAACCCAGCACAGGACACAGTGGGTGCCCAGTGACAGTTACAATTTTACTTCAGCCTCTGATGTACCAGTTGTTTGTTGGTTTTCATGTACTTTTGTTCAATCCTCACAAAACCTTTATGATACTGGCGTATTATCCTCATTTTTCAGACAAGGAGGCTGCAGTTTTGAGAAGTTAGGTAGCTTGCTCAAAGTCAGTAAGAGGCAAACCCAGGATTTGAACCTACATCTGTCTGGCCCCCTAGCCTTGACTGCACCATGCTGCCTCACTACTTCCTTGATAACATGTAGGAGTGGAGAGGTTGGGGGCTGAACAAAGTGGCTTCAGGCTCCCCCGACTGGATTCCTAGTGTTAGGAACTCACAGGGTCAATGGAAGTCAGGTCATTAAACGACAAGTCGATCCAGGCCAGGTTCTCTGGGTGCTCCAACAGCTGTGAAGCCACCTGGTTGAAGTCTCGCAGGTCATTGAGAACATTGTTATTCAGCCACAGGGACTGGGTCAGTGATTTCCCTGACTTTGAACGCTTCAGTGGTCGTAGTCCTGTCCTTGGCTCCTCATTTACCAGGTCTGTGGGGACAAAGTGAGACTTGGGTATCATCTTTGCTTTTCTGGCTTGAGGGGGTGGGAAGGGACAGAGCTGGGAAGATTAGCCATCCAAGCTGTAGCTGAGTCTAGTACAACCCTGTCCCATAGCTTCCAGCAATCAGTAAGTTTAGATTAAGGGCCAGAGACTTCTATCTCAAACTCTTGGCTTTTCAGGTTACATGGACTTCTCATGTCCACTGTACCACTGGGTCTTTTGTATACCAAATCAGTGTCAGGTTGAGGAAAACTAAGAACGAGAATTGTTGGGCTTAAGCCGAGTAGATGATAACACAAAATCCTGAATTAACCACTGGTAAAGCCTATAGAATTCACTTCAGTGGAATACACTCTGACATCCTCCCTCTCTTTCCATTAATGTTGAGTACCTGCAGTATGCCAGGTACTGGATATACAGTGATAAACAAAATGAGAGACAGTCTGTTGCAGACTTTGTATGAGTAATAGGGCAGAGAGCAGACATTTGTGCCTTAGAGGAGCTTATACGGGCAAGATGGGAGCAAACTGGCAATATGATGTGATAAATGCTATATAATAGTCGTTTCGTAGCAGCACAGAAGAGAGGCTATTGACCCAGTGTGGGAGCTCAGGGAGGTTTCCCAGGGCAGGTGAAGCCTGAACTGAATCTCAGTGGATTAGGAGATGTTTTTCAGGCAAAGAAGGGTAAAAAGGCAGGGAGCAGCATGAAGAAAGGTAGAGGTACAGGACAGCCGGGGAGTCTGGGGCAGGTTTGTGTGCCTGCACAAGTGCTCGCACGCACTGCACAAGGGGGACAAAGAGGAAAAGAAGAGGCAGGAATCTAGTCAAAAGTCTCGAATGCCAGGCTGAGGATCTTGGGCTTTACCCTGTAGGTAATGGGAAGGCACCAGAGTTTTTAAAGCAAATGATTCAAATCTTTTTTTTTTTTTTTTTTTTTTTGAGAGGGAGTCTCGCTCTGTCACCCAGGCTGGAGTGCAGTGACCGGATCTCAGCTCACTGCAAGCTCCGCCTCCCGGGTTCACGCCATTCTCCTGCCTCAGCCTCCCGAGTAGCTGGGACTACAGGCGCCTGCCACCTCGCCCGGCTAAGTTTTTGTATTTTTAGTAGAGACGGGGTTTCACTGTGTTAGCCAGGATGGTCTCGATCTCCTGACCTCGTGATCCACCCGTCTCGGCCTCCCAAAGTGCTGGGATTACAGGCTTGAGCCACTGCGCCCGGCCGATTCAAATCTTTTATTTCAGAAAGATCACTGTGAAGTGTCAGTGTGGAATATGGATTTTAGGGAGTGAGTTGGACCGAATGACCAATTTGGCTGTTTGAGTCATCCAAGCAAGACATGAGAGGGACGGACCTACAATCAACATAATTTGGTTGACTGGATGTAAAGGTAGAAGAATATTAAAGGGTGGTGGCCAGTTGTATTAACTAGTAAGGAATTACGGGAAGAAGAAACAGCATTGGGAAGGTGATGAGTTCAGGCTTAGCTTTGGTGTGTTCGAGGTTCCTGTACAAAAAGGTGGAGAAGCCAAGTAGGTAGTTGGAGATGAAGGTCGGAAGCTCAGGAGACACAGACTTGAGAATCGTTAGCAAAGAAGGCATACAAGTTAGGGAAAGAGATGAGATTCCTCATGGAGAGTGAGGGTAGGGAGGAAGGTCAGAGAGGAAGAAGAATCCATTAGAGAAGTTAAATAATCAGGGAAAATCAGGAGAGGACAGTTTAAAGATGTTCAGGGAGTAAATAGTTTATAGTAGTAAGTTCCAGGGAGGTAAGGACTAAAAAGTAATTCTGGCAACTTAGAAGTCCCTAGTAACCTTGGTAAGGGCTGCTTCAGTGGAATGGCAAGGGTCTGGGGGTAGAAGCCAGATTGAAGTGAGTGAGTTCAAGAGTGAATGGAGGCTGGGTTCATGCCTGTAATCCCAGCACTTTGGGAGGCCAAGGGAGGAGGTTTGCTTGAGCCTAGGCATTTGAGACCAGCCTGGGCAACATCATGAAACCCCATCTCTACCAAAAAAAGAGTGAATGGATATGAGCAGTTAGCATAAACAACATCCTCAGAAAGTTTGGCTGAGGAGGAGAGAGAATAGGGAATAGGATTATGTTAAAACCCAGGTGTATGGAACACCCCAAACCCTCACTCCTACTTTTTCAAAATGAGGTCCAGAAAGAGGATGGGCCTTGCCCAAGGTCAAAGTCGTAGAGTCAGAACCAGATGCCAGGTCTGCCTGAGGTAACTGTATTTTTCCCATTGCTGCTAAGCTTTTGGTTTCCTAGTTCACCTCTAGGGAAGGAAGTATGTAGTATTTGCCGAAGCTAGCCAGCTTTCTTCATTCTCTTTTCTGCTCTCTACTGGAGGGACACCCTTTGCCCTTCCACCCCCACCTCGCCTCCTCCTCAGCTGCAGGTCAGGCAGCATCCACCAGATGGCTCTCTGCCTTAGTCCTAGAGTGAGCAGGACCCACAGTTGGGGCCTGAGGTTGCAGGAGGGTACTAGAACGGCATCCCCCAGCTCATGAATTCCTAATCCTGCCTCCCTCCCTACACCTCCTGAAAACCCTGAAATAGAATGACACAGATGAATCAAAATTAAGGTCAAAATAACCCCACATGAACTAGTGCCCCATGTGATAAGGTAGCAGCTTGGGGAATGCCACTGAGCATGGGCTGGAGGCCAAGCTCAGAGGGAATCACTGGTGGGACGGAGTTGCCTAAAACTTGATGCTGGCTGGAGCTGCTCTTATCAGGGATGGAGTGGTATATCCAGGCTGCCACAGGTTGCTGCTCCTCTCAGATTCCACCAACGCACTATACTGCCTAAGAATCTGTAAAGTTCCTTGTTCAGAGTAGGCCAAAGCAGGTCTGGAAGCTGGACCACAAATATCGGTGCTTTGAGAACTGGGGAGTGTTTAGCTCCAGGAAGATCTGGGAAACTATGTTCCTGTTTTCCTTTCTCTGAAAGGCTGCCATGTAGCTGTTTCCATCTGTCAGAATACAAGTTAGTTTGATAGAACTTCCCTGTGTCATCCCTCAACCACAAACTGGAAGGGGTTGGTAGGTGAATATGGTAGGAGACTTCCTTAACACTCTAGGTTTGTGAAAAGTTAGAGGATCTGGGTTGGTGGGAGCACAGATTAGATGGCTTCCAAAGGCACTGCCATTTCATATTCTGTAATATGTATTCATTCAGCAAATAGTGTGCCAAGTACCCCCAAACTCTATTGTATCCCTTAACCCCAGCTGTAAATAAGTTTTTCAGAAGCTCTGGGGAATCTGAAGGGACTCTGACCTTTTGGGCCTTTGATGTGCCTCTCACACATCTAGCAAGGAGCACAATACCTGGCATATACATATGACACACACACACACAAACACACACACATATATAAATGCTTAATAGTAAGTGCTCAGTAAATACTGAATGGTCGAAAGAAGGATGGGGCATCTGTACCAATTACGTTTTGTGATGTAGAGTTACCCTTGGTACTGCTTGTCTCTCTCCCAATTCTGGGGACTCCATAGAGGGCAGAGCTACACCTCCTCCATCAGAGTTAGAAACTCCCATGATAGGTAGGAGGTATACTTCCACCTCTGTCATTTCACCTGTCTTAGAGATAGTTACTATTGCAGCTAAAACCCCTTGTGAAACATGGACTACATCAGAAGTGATGCAGTGCACAATAAAGATCACAGTAGGTGGCTGTGTGCTCGTGAGAGAACAAATATGAGTTACCACTGTGGCTGATGATAATGCAAGTAGACCCTAAACCCAAGCTAAGACTGGTGCTATTTGCCAGCTTCCCGAGCTTAAAGGTGGTGGCTATCAATTGCCTGAGAGAAGATTAAAGCCAAATAATAGTTCTAAAACAGTGGATGTTAACGTGTATTCTGTGAGGACAGATGGACTGATGCTTTAATGAAAGAGCAGATAACAAAAGCCAGGGATGGCGGAACTTCCCTAGGAAGAATGAATGACTCATTGGGAATATGACATGGCTGAGAGCCTCCCTATGTTCCCTCCTGAAGGGACTAGCTACCCATTTGCAAAGACATTGAATGGCAAAATGGTAGCGAGTGTGGGCAGTGTTGGAATCTGCAATAAGTGTAGATGATGATGGAATAAACTTGGATATGGCTGGAATGAGTGTAAGAAATTTGTCAGTAAGTATTTAAACTAGAACTATGCCAGTTTGTTGATAAGACCCCTCATGTTTGGCCAGTCAGAATAGGCTTGTGTCTGCAGACAGAGGAGAAGGGTTTTGCCTACTTGCTGGGACTCCATAGGAGCCTGTGTTTTCCTCCTCTCTTCAGGTAAAAACAGGAGAATAAAACTATTGGCTGGTAGACTGGCTTCCCAGTTTTCTTCCACTTGACTTTCCTGCTGTAGCCTGGCTTCTTTTAAAGATGATCAACTACTGTGATAGCCCCCTGTTTCCTTTCAGATTTGCTCCTTAAAAAAAACAAACAGGGGCACATGTTCTTAGGATCTCCTGGGGCTGTGTCAGGGGCAAAAACAAAACAAACAAAAAGACAAAAAAAAAAAAACCTCTCACTCTCCCCTACCCTCCAAAAGACAGTAACAACACATCTGCAAGCATATAGGAAGAATCTCTTTAGGTTTTTAGGTAGAAGATTATGGTTTCTCCCTGGGGACCACACTGGGCCTGCTGCCTTAGTGAGTGGAGTGCTGTGCTCTGGGGGCTGACCTTGAATGACGTGGATGCTTCTGAAGGAGTAGTCAAGAGGGGGCTCCTGTACCGAAGTGTTCATATAGTCCCGTTTGTTCATAGTTCAGGCCATCATTCATCAGGTGAAAGCAGGTGCCCTGGGAGTCCGGGTTCAGCCTGGGAGGACAGAGAAAGGTGTTGCAAGTACACCGGCCTTCAGGTTTCCCCATAGTCTTCCATCCCTGCTTTCTATCCTCTACTACTCTAGGTCTGCCTGGCTGTATTTCCATTTTAAGATACGAATCACGATTCCTTGCATGTATAGAGCATTTTCTACTTCTCAGAGCACCTTCACATCTCTTAGAACTCATTTGAGAGTTGTAACACCCATTTCTTTGTCTGGAAAATGCCAGATGAAGAAACTGAAACCCAAGGGGTAAAAGGACTTGCCCAGAGTTAAGCCAATGAGTCAGTTGTAGACTGCAGTCATAATCTCCTGACTCTGAGACCCTTTCTGTTACTCTACAGTAGCTACCATGGAGACTGTCTTGATATCCACCCTCTGGTGACATCAACTGGGCTATTCTATTGCTTAACAAATCCCTGAGGGCCTGCACCACATCTGATTGGTGTCTGACTGCCCCTCTCAGTCTGGCCCAGCTGGGGATTTGCCACCTTCTCCACTTGGCTTCTGTGTCAGCTCCATTACCTTTCCATCCAAAGACCCTACTTTCAGCCCTATCCTGAATGTAGCCATACACATATAAACATACACACACAAAAAACCAGAGTCTACCTCTCACCTGTCACTGATGCCTGAAACTCCACCATTAGGGATTCATTCCTGTGGGTTCAGGGATTGTTTCCGGTTAAAATGGAAATACTCCCTGAGAGGGATGAACACAATGTTGTTATCAGTCACTTGCAATGTGGTGTGAATTGTCTTATCAGATGGTTTCCAATTTGTTAGCTAAAGTAAAGCTGAGGTTTTTTTGGAGACAAGGGAGAACCATGAGAATACTACTCACCTGGGATAAAGAGAGCTGACAACACACTTTAACAAGGGGTTTGTGTGTGAATCACACAAGCAAAAGACAAATTGATAAGGATATAGGACAAGAACTTGTCCCAGTCGACCACCCCTTTCTCATTCCATCCACTGCTGCCACCTTTGTATTATTGTTTGTATTACTTCACCTGCTTTCCAAAAGGATTTCAGGTTTACAATAATAACACAGTCATGAAACAGATGATTTGCAGAATAGTGCTGTCCACTAGAAATATAATGTCACAAATGCAAGCCACATATATAATTTAAAATTTTCTAGTAGCCAAAATAAGTAAAATGAAGTGGTAAAGTTAATTTTATTAACTTTATTTTACCCAGTATATCAAAAAATCATTCAATATGTAATCAATATTAAAACCTTCTGAGATATTTTACACTTACAGCACATCCCAATTTGGACCAGCCTACCTGTCAAATGTACATGACTAGTGGCTACCATACTGGACAGCGCAGATTAGAAAGTTAAAAATGGAAGAGAAAGATCAGAAACTAGATTACAGGAAGAGAGAGATGTGCCAGGCACTTTAAGAATCTAAGCCTACATTTAGCTGTGAAATTCCTGGCAGCCAAAGCAAAAAGAGAAACCTTGGGATTGCAGTTCTCATCATTGGATTCAAAGGATAAATTAGTTTGCAGAGACAATGAAATTGGCAAACAACCTTAAAGTGGAATTTCTTACTCAGGAGGCTGAGGCAGTTGGATTGCTTGAGCCTAGGAGTTGGAGGTTGCAGTGAGCTATAATTGTGCCACTGCACTCCAGCCTAGGCGACAGAGCAAGACCCTGTCTCAGAAAAAAAAAAAAAAAAGAGAAAAAAGAAAGAATTTCTGTTGAAAACCAAGGACCTGATATCTTATAATTCAGTTGAAGCTTAATACAGTTCAAGTAAATTCTTTTTTTTTTTTTTTTTTTTTTGGCAATTTAACATATACATGGATAGAGTTCAGTAGGTTTAGAGGAAAATGAATGTCTTGTTCTGAAAAAAATAGCAGTCCCAACTGAGCTTTGGGGAAGTGCCAGCTTGAGTCACTTCACAGCTTCTGTTATGAACTGGTCCCATGGGCATGGATTGTCAATTAGGGAGACTTGAATCTTTTAGATATTAAATCTACAGGCAGACAACAAAGAACATTTTATTCTTTTTTTTTTTTTTTTTTTTTTTTTTGAGACGGAGTCTTGCTCTGTGCCCCAGGCTGGAGTGCAGTAGCGCGATCTCGACTCACTGCAAGCTCCGCCCCCCTGGGTTCACGCCATTCTCCTGCCTCAGCCTCCCGAGTAGCTGGGACTACAGGCGCCCGCCACCTCGCCCGGCTAATTTTCTTGTATTTTTAGTAGAGACGGGGTTTCACCGTGTTAGCCAGGATGGTCTCCATCTCCTGACCTCGTGATCCGCCCGTCTCGGCCTCCCAAAGTGCTGGGGTTACAGGCTTGAGCCACCGCGCCCGGCCAAGAACACTTTATTCTTTTGTAAAAATAGAGGAACCTGCTGTGTACTATAGAACTAGAGGAACCTAGCTTATACAGAAGCCCATCCCACTTCAGCACCTACAACAGATTTGATACCTTTGAACAAGATTGGATACTTTTCTCGAAGTAAATACTGGGTTGGTACCCCAGAGTTATACATCACTGAACATGGATTTTAACTTGAAATACTTAAGGGCAGATTTTTACTGTTAGTTTTCTTGACTATTAGAGAACCCCAGTGCAGTTCCTAAAGACTTCTGATTTTGTGTAGCACCAGCTCCTGTTGCATTTTCTGAATTAGTACTACAAATGGAGCCCCAAGAAGCTGGTTAAATTTTTAGCCTTCTGCATTTAAGCTGTAGCCCAGGCTGTGAGCTAGTATCGCGTCTTATTCATTATCCAACATAGAACCAGGTTTACAACAGGCACTCAGAAAATGCTTGTGGGATGAATGAATGAGAAACTGCCAATTCTGAGGATTTCTGTTTCAGAAGAGTTGATGCTAAGCTGTTCTAACAATTGGCTCCCAGGTTCAGCTGTTTCAGTCCACACCTTGTTCACAGTAAGATATTCAGTTCAATTCAGCAAACATTTGTTGAGTGCTTGCTGCTCTGTGCCTGACCAGAAGAAATGAAGCCAAGATACAAATAATAGAACTCTGTCATGAGCACAGAAAGACCTGCTGAGTTTCTGTTGATTGTGGCAAACCAGCCTGCCTCCAGTTCCAAGTAACAGCTGCCCACTTAGTGAATACTCTCTCGTTTCAACACTCAGTTCTAGTGTACCCTCTTCTATAAAGCCTTTCTTTTCCAGATAAAATTGGTTAATGTATCCTGTGTTAGGCTGATTGTTTTGATGATCCCTATTCATGGTCTCCCCTGTATCCATCCCTTTTTGCCTATAACATGATAGTTCCATCTCACTCTGATGCTGGGCCCAGACATGTGACTTGTTTTAGCCAGTGGGATGTTGATAAACATGAAACAAACAGAAGCGTTAAAGGAGGCCTGCCTTCTTGCTCTCTGCCAGTGCCATGAGAACATGGCTGATCTGCTGAAGGGTTATGAGATGTGTAGGTGAGAGACATGCGAAGGAGCTATTGATTCCAGCTGAAGCCATCCTAGACTAACCCACAGTCAGCCTACCCCCAGTCAAGATCAGGAGAGTCACCCAACCCACGGATGACTGCCGACACATGAGTAAGCCCAGCCAAACCAGAAGAACCATCCAGCTGACTCTAAGACTTAGAAGCAATAATAAATGTTTATTATCTTAAGCCACTGTGTTTTGGGATGGTTTGTTACACAGCAATAGCTAACTTCGGCATGCCCCCACTGTACTTTGAACAAAATTTTATTGAACAAAATTTTATTTCAGCCTGTTGACTCATCTGTGAAATGGAGACAAACCCTACTTTGAGAACTATTGTACATCTGGCATCAGGTGCTCAATAAATGGAAGCAGTTGTATTCTTTGTTAATTTCATTATAACCAACTTTGTTTACTCCCTGTAAGCTTGAGGACAGGGACAAGACTCAGACTTCTTTCTCCCTTCTCATCATTACCCTACATTGAACCTGGCAAAAAAAAAAAAAATGCATATTCACTAAAGGTTTGATGGACAAATGAAAATGGATGGACAATGGAAAAATGAAAGAAGAAATGAAGGAATTAATGGAGTCTTCAGGGTATCACATAGAGAGCTTGACTGCTGGAGAGAACTGACAAAGCCTTGATGCTGCCATGCTTAATCCTGTGGCTGTGTTTTTGGAGTCAGTCTTTCCCATCTGCTATTCTGGCTTATGACCAGGAGATAATCAGATGCCAGCACCTTCATCTGTCCAGACTGACTGACTTGATGAATAACAAGGTTAGGGGAATACCTGCCTTGTTTCGGAACTGGAATTTCTCATTTCCAAATTGACAGTATCTTTAACTGTTTTGTTTTTTAATTGTAAAAGCTAATATGATAGATGATAGATGAATAAAGTGAAATGACATGGAGAAGTACATCAAATAGGAACTCAAAGTTTGAATCTCCATTAACAGTTTGGGAATATAACCTCCTAGAATGTATAGCTAATAAGGTTTTATACATACACACATGCACATGCGTGGTTTTCTTTTTTCTTTTTCTTTTTTTTTTTTTTTTGAGACAAGGTCTCACTCTGTTGCGCAGGCTGGAGTGCAGTGGTGCCACTTCAGCTCACTGCAACCTCTGCCTCCTGGGCTTAGGCAATCCCACCACCTCAGCCTCCCGAGTAGCTGGGACTACAGGCACACGTCACTACACCCTGCTAATTTTTGTATTTTTTTTGTAGAGACACAGTTTTGCCATGTTGCTTAGGCTGGTCTCAAACTCCTGGGCTCAAGCTATTCACTTACCTTGGCCTCCCGAAGTGCTGGGATTACAGGTGTGAGCCACTGTGCCCGGCCTAGATTATGTATATTTTTAAATAAACAATATTCCTTTATAAACCTATTTTTAAATTTTCGAATTGCTGTAGATTATTACCCTTTTTAATAGTTGCAAAGTATTTTATCCTATGTATTTTACTTTAATGTTATACACTTAATTTAACTTTAACCAATCCCAAGTTGACAGAAAACTGTTTTCAGTTTTGGGAAATTACTAAAGTTTGTAATTTGATTGTTGCTAGCCTATTCCTGACCTCTCTCAGGCAAGTTGCAACATGATAACACAGGAAGCTTTGAGGAATAATCACATAAATCTGATAGGAGATTCAACAGCCTGGCCTGAGAGTTTCTGATGATGGACTGACGGCAGAAAAAAAATCAAAGACTGCTATGAAAAATCTGCCACGTATTTAGCCAGGCATGGCAGCTCACACCTGCAGTCCCAGTACTTGGGAGGCTGAGGTAGGAGTATGGCTCAAGCCCAGGAGTTCGAGGCTGCAGTGAGCTATGACTGTGCCACTGCACTCCAGTCTGGGCAACAGAGCAAGACTCTGTCAAAAGAAAAAAGAAAAGAAAAAAGAAAAATCTGCTACATAATCTAATTATTCTGGGAGGTTATATTCCCAGGTGCCAAAAGGAGGCCCAAGATTCAACCTGGCTTCTGTTTACTCGCCTCTACTACCATCTCAACTCCAATTCTGCAGTCCAGCCAAATGTAACTACTCACCATAAGTTCCTCGGACCTGCTGCTGGGCCTCTAAGTGGAACAGTGTCTCCTTCCAGCTCTGTCTGCTTGGAATATAGTTTTTCTCTCCTCCTTTTGCTTTGCTAATTCTTACTTCAGGGCTCAGATCAGGTTTCAACTTTTCTGAGAAGTCTACCTTTATCCTAAAATCTGTAATTACAGTGCTATGATTTCCATGGTAGCACTCATAACACTATAATTATCTGCTTACTATCTGTATGTCCATAAACACCACCAGGGCAGAAACCATATTTTTCTTACAGTTGTATCTCATAGTGCTGGCAAGTAGTAGGTGCTTAACAAACACATTAAAAATTGCAACTAAGGCCGGGGCGCGGTGGTCCAAGCTGTAATTCCCCGCCTTTGGGGGCTGAGGGGGGATCACTGAGGGTAGGAGTCGAGGACTTCTGGCTAACATGGTGAAACCCCGTTCTCTACTAAATAACAAAATTGGCGGGCGTCCGGTGGCGGGCCGCCTGAGGTTCAGGTACTTGGACTGAGGCGGAGAATGGCGGTGACCCGGGAGGCGGGAGTTGCAGTGGAGCGAGATCACGCCAGCTGCACTCCAGGCCTGGAGCACGCGAGACTGTCTAAAAAAAAAAAAAAAAAAAATTGCAATAATAACATATCAAAGGGAGAGGGAATGAGGGTTGTGTAATTGAGGATCTGCCTGTTCTGCCAGTCTAAGGAGCGAAGTTCCTGGAAGGAAGTTGGACGAGGAATCCGAAAGGATAGGCCGGGGCGGCGGTGGCTCCAAGCTGTATCCCAGCCCTTGGAGGCCGGAGGCGGGGGGGTCCAATGGGTAAGGAGATCGGAAGTGACCTCTGGGCTAAAACCGTGAACCCCGTCTTACTAAAAATACAAAACTAGCGGGCGTGGGGGGTGGGCGGCGCGTTGTAGTCCAGTACTCGGAGTGGGCAGCTGAGAATGCGGGGAACCGGGGGCGGAGCTTGTAGTGGCCGAATGCGACTGCTGCCTGCCAGCCCCTAGGGTACAGGAGCAAGACTCGTGTCTCAAAAAAAACAAAGAGAAAAGAAATCCAAAGGATAAGTACAAATTAACTTAAGGGGTAGGGGGTGCTGTGGAATGAGCATTCCAGGCAGATGTGACTGCTATATGCAA